CCTCAGTCTCCAACCTGGGTGAGAAGAAGTCATTCTCCTTCTTGTCTCCCGAGTAGCTGGGATTACATAGTCGCACCACCACACCTGGCTAATCGTTGTATTTTTCTTAGTGGAGACAGGGTTTCACCGTGTTGGCCAAGCTGGTCTCGAACTCCTGACCTCAAGTGATCCGCCCTCCCAAAGTCCTGGGATTATCAGCGTGAGCCACCAGGCCCAGCCAAGATTTTTTTTTTTTGAGACAGAGTTTCACTCTTGTTACCCAGGCTGGAGTGCAATGGTGCGATCTCGGCTTACCGCAACCTCCGCCTTCTGGGTTCAAGCAATTCTCCTGCCTCAGCCTCCCGAGTAGCTGGGACTACAGGCGCACACCACCATGCCCAGCTAATTTTTGTATTTTTAGTAGAGACGGGGTTTCATCATGTTGACCAGGATGGTCTCGATCTCTTGACCCCGTGATCCACCCGCCTCGGCCTCCCAAAGTGCTGGGATTACAGGCTTGAGCCACCGCGCCTGGCCTCCCGGTCAATATTAAGTTGAATTATATAAAATAAAGTTACATCTTCTGTGTACCTTAACTCGTCTGCTATTTGTGTTAGAACAGACATAATGGATTTTGTATTTTAAATAAAGCACTATAAACTGTACATTATTTGAGCATACTCATTAGATTCAAGCTGTAATTTATCAATTGCATAATGGATTCACTAGTTAACTTTTATTTATTTATTTTTTTGAGATGGAGTTTTACTCTTGTTGCCCAGGCTGGAGTGCAATGGCATGATCTCGGTTCACTGCAACCTATACCTCCAGGGTTTAAGCGATTCTCTTGCTTCAGCCTCCTGAGTAGCTGGGATTACAGGCGCACACCACCATGCCCAACTAATTTTTGTAATTTTAGTAGAGACAGGGTTTCGCCATGTTGGCCAGACTGAGCTCTAACTTCTGACCTTAGGTGATCCGCCCGCCTCGACCTCACTAGTTAACCTCTAGGATATTATGACTAATTAAAAAATATTAATCCAATTTTAGTACATATTTTCTTTACATTAAAATAAAGACTAAGCAGGTATACAATTCAGTAGTTATTTTAAAAATAATTCCACAAAATATTCTTCAAGTATTGAAAAATAATAAACTCCTTAAGTCCTGAGAAATCTATATAGTCATACCGCTAGAAACAGGAAAATACAAATCCAGATATATTTTAAGTCAAAAGATAAAGCATGAGGCTTATCAAATAAATTTGAGGACAAAATAGTTTTTTTTTTTCTTAGCATCAGCTAAGCGTTTTGTAAAGATAAAAGCTTTTAATATTCCCATTTGATTCAGTAACTGTGAGTCAGCATAAGCTATTACAGTAAATACTGCCATTGATTCAAGTTGCACTGTGGTTTCTCCAACTCAGCACTGTCTAATCGAAATATAATGTGAGCTACATGTGCAATTAAAATTTTCTAGTAGCCACATATAAAATCATCCAGAAACAGGTGAAATTATTTTAATAATATACTTTCATACAACAAATTATTGTTTCAATACATATTCAATATGAAAAGATAAATAATTTTTTTCCAATTTTTTTTGAGACGGAGTTTCACTGTTGGTACCCAGACTGGAGTGCAATGGCACTCTCGGCTCACCGCAACCTCTGCCTTCTGGGTTCAAGCAATTCTCCTGCCTCAGCCTCCCGAGTAGCTGGGACTACAGGTATGTGCCACCATGCCCAGCTAATTTTTCTATTTTTTAGTAGAGACGGGTTTCATCTTGTTGACCAGGATGGTCTTGATCTCTTGACCTCGTGATCCCCCCACCTCGGCCTCCCAACGTGCTGGGATTATAGGTGTGAGCCACTGTGCCCAGCCTAATTTTTTTCCAATTCTTCCAAAAAATCTGCATGTATTTTATACTGGTAGCACATTTCCACTCAGACAATGGCCCATAAGGTTTTCTTTGTGAAAGTGATACTGAGCTGCTGGAGGGATTAAATAAAATTGGTTTTGCTTTCTCAGTAAGCGCATTTTGTCAAAAAAGAAATAAAATTCGTTTTGCAGTTAAAGTAGCAAATCCCACTGACAGGTACAAGGATAGGTAGAAAGCAGGCACTTGGGAAAAAAAAAATGTACATACTAAGAATCAGCAACTTGAAAACAAAAACCACCTTTATGCAACTAAATAACATCTGCACTTGGGAAACATCATGAAGCACACATTTGATTTAACTCAATTAAAAAAATATTAAGTAATTACCATGTGCTAAGCACAGTAATTTGGTAAGAATTTACCAAAACGACGATTATAGCTTCAACAGGAACTTGGAAAAGTCACAAAGTAATATGATTTTATTTACAGAATCATCTCCTGTCATCTGGAGTGACTTTTGTCCTATCACTTATATTTACTACAATTACACAGTGTTTACTTGTTCTGTCTTCACCAAGAGACTGTAAATTCAACAGCAAGGACCTTTTCTCTGTATCGCTAATGTTTAAAGAGTCAGTGTCTGATATATACCAGGGACTAAATAAACATTCTTTGAATTAAATGAATTAAAAAATAAATAAAAGAATGAATAGGGTTTCTCATCCCTTGCCTTTTTTGTTCCCAGGACTTAGCACTTTCTAACAAACTAAAATTTATATTTTTTTTACTGTCTGTATCTACTCTAGAATATAAACTTCATGAGGGAGGGATATTTTCATTCACTATTTCCAAGTGTTACAATTTCCAAACAGATATTCAATAAATATTTGATGAATGATTATTTTAAAAACTGCTAATGGGAGAATTTCTGGAATTTTATTTGGTTAACATCTTCACGTCGCTTTAAGACATTCCTCACTGACATCAACTGAATTCTTCAAATCTTAATTTACTCCTGATATTCTGGATCTACTGGAGCATCTTTAGTCATAATCCTCAATAATAGGGCTTATCAACTATTTATACATCTTCCTTCTCCATGAAAATGCATTTGCTAGCTTTCCCTGTGGACAGAGAAAAACTTCATGGAGGGGGTGAATGGGAACTTGACATGGTACTTACTTTGGTAGCAATTAGCTGTTGTCACCCCAACCAGTGAGAGAGCCAATCTCCTTAAATATCTGGCGCATAAAAGTGCATAGATTCCTGATTGTAGCCTTGCCATTATCTCTGTTAGGGGTGGCCAAATAAGACCTTCAATTTTGGATAAGGCTGACAGAACCAGAATTTGGTTTGTAGCCCAGTGAAATGAACTCCATGGTTGTCCAGAGTACTCCTTGAGATTTTGATAAGAGATTAAGATGCCAGTCCTGTATGGACCCCGTAAATTCAATTCTGGGAAGGCCTTAAATGTTTCATCCTGTGATTTTCCAGAATAAAATAACAGAGCTCAGTTCTGCCTAAGGTTGATTCCTCTATTTTTTTTTTCTTATGCTCATAGCACCTGGTACATTTTGTCTAACCAAAATAAAACATTTAACTTGATTTATGAGAAATATACTCAATACTTTTAAAATTTAACATTTTAATTAGATATAATTAATATGGTCTATTGTTCAATGGAAGCTCAGATAAGCAAAGTGGAGTGAATACAATGAAATACTAAACATGTCTGTGTAAATCAACATGAAAAGGTATTGAAGGCATTGCAAGTTCCAAACTACTAAGTACAGTGAGAGTTCGCTGTTAAACATTTTTCCAAACTTTATATATATTCATGCAGTGTTATTTTTGCAATGTTTTGTTTTTACAATATAAAAACAAAATCAGCACATTTCCAAGTAATGTTCAAAACACATTTATTTACTAAATCACCTGATATCAACATCTAAGATAATTTCAACAAATACAATGTTTAAGAAAAAAATTGTGATATATAACGTATTTGTCTTAAGAAAAAAGTCTTATTTACAAGTTGAGGAATGAAGGTATTTCTTTTAATTAAAAAAACATTCATTATGCAGTGCTACCACAATAAAAGTGAATATCCCAAGAACAGCTCAAGTATCTAGTGAAGTATTAAGAGGTAAACATTTTTTCAGTCATATTCAGAAAATCTAATGTGTTTACTTGCTTGTTGAGTCTTCGCCAGTCTAATCTTTTCAGCTTTGGTGATTAACTATAGAGAAATAAATCCATAATTAGAATGTAGTGGATAATTAAAAAAAATAAAAAACAAACTATGACTAGAAAAAATTTCACAACTATCAGTTTGAATGAAATTTTTTAAAAGAGAAGATGTCCAGGCTCAGGGGCTCATGCCTGTAATCCCAGAACTTTGGGAGGCAGAGGCGGGTGGATCACCTGAGGTCGGGAGTTCGAGACCAGCCTGACCAACATAGAGAAACGCTGCTTCTATTAAAAATACACAGTTAGTCGGGTATGGTGGCACATTCCTGTAATCCCAGCTACTCAGGAGGCTGAGGGGTATGGTGGCACATTCCTGTAATCCCAGCTACTCAGGAGGCTGAGGCAGGAGAATTGCTTGAACCTGGGAGGCAGAGGTTGCGGTGAGCTGAGATCGTGCCATTGCACTCCAGCCTGGGCAAAAGCGAAACTCCATCTCAAACAAACAAACAAAAACCAAACCAAAACAATGAGAAGATGACAAATGAGACAATTACACTTAGGTCAAATCAATTACAAATCAAATCTGTTATTAAGACTATTTACTATTTCCTATTTCTTAGACCCTTACATAAATTGTTGAATATTTTTAAGAAAGGCAAATGAAATTACACAGAAAAAAAAAGAAAACTGTTTAAAATGTCTACAATATTCCAAAAGCTTCCTTGATTAAAAAATGAAGTTAAAATATTAAGCTTTGGAGTAAATGCAAATCTTTTTCTCTAAAAATATAAATTCTAATGAGTATACATTTAAATAGTTTTAAAGTGTTTGGTGCCATATGGCCATTGGAAGGAATTCACTTTTAGATTAAACTAAAAACCTATTATTAATCAGTGAGGTGAATTAAAATCCAAAGATGTTTAGAACTCTAAATAAATAAATAAATAAATAAATAAAAAGAACTCTATCATACCCATGTTGCTGTTCACAGATCTTTTAAATTCTGCCTTTACCTGTTGGGTATCAGTAATTTGTACAGGAAAGAATTCAAATATGTTTTAAAAGCCAAAGAGAAAAAAGAAAAGCTTCATTCTGTCTCTAGTAGCTGTTACCTATTTTTACCAATGTGCTCAAAATGATAGGGCACACTACAAAGATTTGGGCTAGCAAAATGAGTAGGAGACATCTCTTTTGGCAGACCTTTCTTTCATCTCTATCTTTTGTGAGACATCACTAATTTAATTTACTTGTGTTTAATATATTATTTTAGTTTAGTTTTTTTTTTTGAGACAGAGTCTTGCTCTGTCGCCCAGGCTGGAGTGCAGTGGTGCCATCTCGGCTCACTGCAACCTGTGCCTCCCAGGTTCAAGTGACATGCCTGCCTTGGCCTCCGGAGTAGCTGGGATTACAAGGTGTGTGCCACCATGCCTGGCTAATTCTTGTATTATTAGTAGAGATGGGGTTTCATCATGTTGGCCAGGCTGGTCTCCAACTACTGACCTCACGTGATCCACCCATCTCAACCTCCCAAAGTTCTGGGATTACAGGCATTGGGCTACAGTGCCCAGCCCCACAATGTGAATATTAGGAGTCAGAATTTTTTAACTTTTACTCAATGATGGGCCAAATACAATACTATTGTAGAAACATTGTCATGTCAATAAGGTATTTATGTCACCTTTTTGGCAGATTCATTGATGTTCTACTAGTTTTTTTCTAAGCAATTTCCATTAATTACTAAGACACCCCTAGTACTCCAACTACACTGGTCTTCTAGTCACTGACAGTCTTCCCTTAAGGTCTCTGCATTTTCTTTGCTTCTGCCTGAAAAGCTGTACTTGTAAACTTTACTGGGCCTTTCTCGCTCACTTCCCTATGGTCTTGGCTGTAACATCACCTTTGCAGAGGGCTTTCCGGATAACCTCAGCTGATAAAATGCTCTCCTGCAATACACTTTATTTTTCTGTTTAGTACTGGTCATCACCTAAACTATACTGTTTATCTGTTAGCTTCATGAAAGCAGGGGACTTTGTGATTCACAGCTTTACCCCAGGTTTCAAGAATGGTGCCTAACACAAGGTACTTAAAAAACAGTAGCTGAATTAAGTAGCAAACAAGTAGGCTAAACTAAGTATGGTCTACTCCTTTTTTCCAACAACTTTGCACAGCACTTACTTTGTGAGGTACCTCCGTTTCATTTCATGACAAGAGTCAACTTGCTACTTCCACAGCTACTTAACAAATTGTGCTAACGACAATCCTGATATTATAACTGAGTTGTGTGTTCCACCTCAATTTTAAGAAACTTCCTGGTCAAAGATGAGCTCTTTCTAAATTTCAAAAATGAAAAATCAATGATTTATTCCTAGTTTTAAAAATATATAAAATCTAAATGAAATTTCACACCAATTAGAAGGGTGAGTATTATTTTAAAAAGTGACTTCACTTCAGTTTAGGGATCTGGATTAGTGATTTTAATTTGAATCATCTCAAGCAGGCTTTGAAATTAACACCTCATATCCCTGAAAGAATCCTTAGGAAGCACAGGAGGCTTCCCCATCACAGCAAGTTCAGTCTCCTTTCAAGGAAACAAAATTCACAAAGATGAGTAAGACACCTCCCCACAAATCATGATAAATTCCGGGCAACGGAAGAAAGCTAATGAAAAATACTTGCTTTTTAAGTTAAAAAAAATTTTTTTTTGAAATAAATATGACCCCAAATCAACAAGCTTAATTACAGGAAACAGGACGTTTAAAGTGCTCATCTAACAAAAGGAAGTTCATCTTTTTCGTTTTTATTACACTTTTATAATATACATTTCTAAATTTTGACAACTATAGTTAATATTAGGCATTAGGTACCCTACTTTGTTCCAGGCACCTTAAACTGTACTAACCTTTACATGTCTAATAATTTGTTTTAAAAATAAATTTGGTAGCTCACTAGCAACAATTATTATAAGTTACCGGCATTTTTTTTGGTTATAAAACTATAACCAAAAAAAGAGATAGGGTCTCACTATGTTGCCTATGCTGGAATGCAATGGCTATTTACAGGTGTGATTGCACTACTGATCAGACCAGTATCATTTTAAGTGACAGAAAAACAAAATTACTGAAAGAGGGGCTTGCTTTAAGTTATTTATTTAAGCTTGTTTGTATTATTTACTGACTATCTTAGAGAAAGAAGACTAAAGCTTATCATTGCTATAGGGAAACACTATGCATAAAGTCTCTCAATCTTATCTGTGGAGCCTCAAATCTTTATAAACTACATTCTAAATACACTGTGCTTTTACTAATAATATAATCTTTGTAAAATAATTTACCACCAAACTATAAGATATAGCAGCCAGAAATCAAGACTGTTAAAGTATATCACTTGTTAAAAAGAAAAAGGAAAACTCTACAATTAGGCATCCTTGTGAGATAAGTAATTCAATTTCACACATTTTGAAATCTAGAGAAATGACTTTTCTCTCTCAACCTAAAACATAGTATATACTTGGTAAATCTTTGTTAGGTAATAGCAAAGCCAAGATTATTTTATGACTACCTAGTACTGACTTTGGCATTCAATGTCCAAAGAAGGTATAGTATAAAAAAAAAGAAAAAGAAATCAATTACCTTTTCAGTGCCTCTTTTCTTTTCCCGAGGCTGATTAAGTTTTGCCTGTCTATCAACCAAAATCTTCTGCCAATATCTTTGTTCGTGATCACCTTAAAAACAAACAAAACCTCTGATGGATTAAAAGAACATATCTAAAAAACTATATCCAAGGCATTACATTCTCAATAATAGAACTAGGATAGTTGTTGGATTATATTTAATTCTACTTTATACATATTACAGAACAGAAAACAAATTATTAGTTTCGCCGGGCATGGTGGCTCACGCCTCTAATCCCAGCACTTTGGGAGGCAGAGGCGGGCAGATCACCTGAAGTCAGGAGTTGGAGAACGGCCTGGCCAACATGGTGAAACCTCGTTTCTACTAAAAATATAAAAATTGCTGGGTGTGGTGACTCACACCTGTAATTCAAGTGCTTTGGGAGGCTGAGGTGGACGTATCACCTAAGATAAGGAGTTCAAGACCAGCCTGACCAACATGGATAAAAATACAAAATTAGCTGGGCGTGGTGGCGCAAGATTGTAATCCCAGCTAATTGGGAGGCTGAGGCAGGAGAATCACTTGAACCCAGGAGGTGAAGGTTGTGGTGAGCCGAGATTGCACCACTGCTCTCCAGCCTGGGCAATAAGAGTAAAACTCCATCTCAAAAAAAAAAAAAAAAAAAAATATATATATATAAATTAGCCAGGCAAGGTGATGCATGCCTGTAATCCCAGCTATTCAGGAGGCTGAGGCAGGAGAAGCTTGAACCTGGGAATTGGCTGCAGTGAAGCTGAGATTGTGTCACTGCACTCCAGCCTGAGTGACACAGCAAGATTTAAAAAAAAAATTACTAGTTTCATTAGCCAAACTGAGAAAATATATTACCCACAATAAGGAAAAAACAAACTTCTATGAAGTTTTACCAGAAAGGATCTCAAGTTTCCAGCAGTGTTTCTTGTTAATTTCTGTATATGCATTTATTACTGCTTGAGCATCCTCAGGAGTTTTAAATCTAGCATGGCATTCTGTATCTCCTTCTAGCAAATCAACATAAAGAACTTCTGAGATTGCTGCCAAAGTATCCTGCATTAGAGTTAAGTAGAAAGATTTAAAATAAAATAAGTTTCACAATAATTCTAAAACGATTCCAATGGTTATGCCAGATTATGTAAATAAACCATTTTGTAGATTAAAGAGGAGCAAATATCCTATATCAAACATTTCTTATAAACCATGTTCTTAAAAATATATTTGAATAAAAAAGAAACCAATTAATGTTAACTCTAATAATTTATTTTCCTTTATTTTCTTTAAATCCCATCCTTCAAATATGAACTAGAATGGGACTATTCTATAAGGACAGCACATTTGTAGAGCAGAAAGCAGAAATAGTGTCCCCCCAACCCCTAAATCAAGAAGGGTTTACATCTGGGATTAGTTAGTATAAGGAATAAAATTAAAAAAAAAAATTAAGAAAGAAGGTTTGTTTTTACTCACCTGTAGAAAATCACTATGTCTTTAAAATATGTGTACAAATCATTCAACTTTTAATAACAACTTATGAAAAAAAGTTTCACCAAACCTAAAAAAAATTATTCGGTTTCCACATTGTTTAAGAGCTCTTACTTTCTGAAAAAAATACCAAAGTAACCTCTTCTAAACAATTTGTGGTCACTCAGCAAAGAAAACCTTTACCTACACTGCCTGCTGTGAGGGCAAATTAACCAGATTCCTGCATTCTTAATCAACTTTTTTTTTTTCCCCAGCAGGCTTTAGAGTATACAATGCATTTATGCAGGAATGTTACACTAATTCCTAATTCATCAACTTCCATTCACACAAAGCTAAAGAAATAACTGGAGATCCCTAAATAGGAGGAAAAAAGTATTATTTATCTTGCCGTCCTTAAGTTTTAACCTAAATTTTCAAGACACAACTAATTTAGATTACTTTCAGATGCTGAATTTTTAGATGTTTGAATTATGGAAAGAATTGAGCAATACCTGGGAGTATTATTTCATCATAGAATAAGAAAAGTTTATTAGTATATAATAAAGAATATATAATAAAATCTGTGAGTCTCTAGAAGCCAGGGACTAGATCTTAACTCATCTTAACACTCAGCAAACTATCAGGAAACAGGCATTTAGTAATTTTACTAAAAATTTTAATTGTTTGCCAAATCAATTATAAAAAAAAACTGCAGAGAAATATATTTGCTAGTCCTTCCAACTTCTTTATCTAGTTTTTAGTATCAAGTTTAGATATAAAGCAAGTAAAAAATTCAGTATTAAATTGGTGAAATTTGACTGTGTTCACTAGCAGTAATGAGTTTCATAACTGACTTTTGAACAGATTCAATTACTACAACTCAAAAGATATTTACTAAATATCCATTATAATGTTGGGCTAATCTCTTGATTTAAAATTCTTAGAATTTAAAACCCATAGAATGACAAATTAGCCTGGTAATCACATGGGCAAGTCAGACAGCTGTAACCACCAGCAAAGCTCAGTTTTTGTTTCAGCAAAATGTAAGTAACTACTTAACTGGATTAATGCAGGGACTGATTTTATGATTTTGGTGATCATAAATGATGAGTTTGTAATTGATACAGTTACCATTTAAATAATAGAAGTTATTTAATAAGTGATTCCAAATAACACTGAGTAATTTTTATATTAAATCTTCTACAATCTGACTAACCACAGCAGCATTTACATCCCTCAATTTTCAGCATTCTCCTGAAATGCAACCTGGTAACAGCAATTTGGGTTTGGCCAAATCCTTCACCAATTTTGGAAAGAGAATCAAAATTTGTGTTTTAGTGACACCTACAAGATTGCAGGATAAGATTGTAGGATACTCCCTATCTGCAGATTCTGATAAGGAGTTCTTACAGATAAAAACCACCTCAATGGTATTCAAGTTAAAACCTGTGACTGATATGAGTCTATGTAAAATCAAAACAATATACTAAGTGATGATGAATATCAGTAAAGAAAATACTTATAAGGATTCACATTTTAAAAGGGTGACAGGCAGGGTTAGGGTAAATAAAATATGGTACTCTCACACAAAAGTATATGATTTCCTTAACAGAAAGAAGTATTGCTATCATTGTAGTATAAAAGGTATAGAAGATAGACTGTATAAAGTGAAAAAAGATGATAAAACCTGTGTGTACAGCAATTCGTAGCACAGTTCTGTATTACAGAACTACGGATTTACTGGTAGTTGCACACATTTTTACAGGTTTTTAGAAGTACTTTATACTTTTCTATAATTAAAATTTTAAACATAATCAGCACATGGATAACACACAACAAAATCAATGTCAATAAAAAGAAGCAAAAGTTACAATTTTCCTATAGAGAAGGATGTTTAAACTGTGCTTACTATAAAACAGATTCAGTGATACCAGATTTTGCTTCAAAATTAAACCAGAGTTACTATGGAATCAAAACTGTACAGGTAGTTTACCACAGAGGTACAAATTCTATTTTAATTTGTTTTGTCTTCCATATTCAAAATATTATCACACAGGGAAGTTAATAAGAAAACAAAGAACAAATGCCCTAGGGGATCAAAATCATTACCCGGACTTGTTTCCTGCCAGGTAGGGGCTCTGTGCTAATGATCTTCACAATCACTCCACTCACGAACTGTGGTCCTGATGCATTAACTTTCTCCTGGGTGCGACACTCTTCACTGCTGGCTGTTGATTAGAAAAGGAAAAAGACCAGGACTTAATCTCTTACACTTAACAATTTAATACATACCACGACTACCTTAGAATAATTTCTGAGGCAAATTTAAATAATTTAAAACGTTTAATTTTAAAATAAGCAATTAAAGGTTATATGTCATACTGTTTATTTCAAAACACTATGAAACAAAATTCAGAAAGTTTTATTATTCTACATTCAAACTGTTACTGCTAGAAGAGCATCCATAAAGCCTTTAAAATAGCCCCTCTGAACACAGGAACAGCAAATTTTGACTCAAAAAAGTTAAAAAAATGTTACAAGATACTGTGTTTTAAACACATTATTATTAAAATATAAACATTTATTTTAATAAGAAATGAGAATTTAAATGCATCCTAATTTTGAATTCCTAAGAATCATGCTTTAACATATTCCTGCTTGTGGTTCATACTACACAACGAAATTACAGGTGAGAAACTACAATCTTCATTCCTGCAAACTTGCTCAATCTACACACTCTGCACTCATCTGATTAATAATGAAAACTGTAGAGAAAACTCTACAGTTATTTTTAAAATTGTTAAAAATTAGCCTTTTAAATATTCTTGTATCTAGAGTAAATCACACATCTGGATAACTTAGCAAATCAAGAATTGTTCTAATAATGACATGGAATAATTAAGTTTTTTAAAATTAAAGTTCATCCTGTAACAATTCAGAGATGGCATTTTCATATATATTATAATGTTGCCAAAACTATCAGTGACCTTTACTTTTTTCATTTTTTATTTCAGTCTTTTGAGGTACTCCACTGTCTGTTTCCATTTCTGACTCCGATTTTATTTGGGATATTGTTTTTTTTAAAGAAGCCATGCTAGCTTTTTGTAGTGCTAAATACTCTTTTTTCAAATCCATCCATTCGCTCCTGCAAGAAAAGAAACAAAATAGTGACAACAGATGACTAAATATAAAAAGTAAACATGGAAATATCTAAATATATACATTCACAATGACTTGGAGCAATTCCTCCTCCCAACTTTCCAGTTTCTTTAAACACAAATTCAAAATATTTCCTGGGTTCTACAGCCATTTAACTAGCAAAAAGGCAAAGGGAGTTCTCTTTCCCCCAAGATTCAGATTAAATGTTTTAAGACGGCCAATTAAATTTTTGAGTTGTCTCAAGTATTTTAATTTATGAAAGTACAATTTCAGCATCAATTTCTTAATTAACTAGTAACATTTACTAGTATCAGTCATCTCTGTGGGAAAAGTGAGAGATTAAACATTTGTTAAACTGCTTCCAATTTGAAAGATAACATTCCTTAGTATTTGTTTGAATCAAAAATAATTTCTAAGTAGAACAAAACAACCCATGGAAGCAATTTATTTATTTACATACATTTAACATGTAGATGTTTCTTCAAACAGCTAGAGTTCCTCAAGATAGAAACACAATGCCTCTCTTAGCTCGGTGGGAGCACTTATTGTTGCCCTAATCTATGCCATCAAACAAGCAGATAGGAGATTTTTTTTTTTTAAAGAGGAAGATATCTTGTGGTAATGGTTTTAGCTGTTAACATTGACATCTGTATACTTTAAAAAAAAAAAAAAAAAAAAAAAAGGATCCAGACCCACCCGGGATCAGACATTCCCTGAGAGCTGATACATTAAAATAACAAAAGGCTCTTGTAATGATTCTCTGAGATAAAAAGGCAAAAGGAATTCAGGAGTTAAGAATAGTATAAATAGAAGTGGCTGAAGTCCCTGCCTTTTACCCTTCTGGAGGAGGACAGGAATCTTTGAAAACTAATTTGGGAAGGTAAAGAATATTTTTTTCTTCAAAGGTATGTCATTTGGTTTTTCTCCATCTCTAACTACTCTCAGGTTCAAAGAAGTTTTACGTGGGTGGGCTCCCTTCAACTTTAACATGGAAGTACTTTCTGTGACTTTAAAAGTAAGTGCTTCCATGTTTTAGTAGAAGTGAATCCAACTTATTTCTCCAAAATAGAACATGCTAACCTCATTCTATTATAGAGGTTGAAGGGTTCCCCTTTGCTTTAACATGGGGGTACCTGCTGTGTGAAACAAAAGTAAGTGCTTCCATGTTTCAGTGGAGGTGTCTCCAAGCCAGCACACCCTTTGTTAATTGTTTTGTTGCTATATTTTAAAGTTATTTAGCTTTTGTTACAGGTTAAAGGATTCTAAGTTTTTCCAAGACTGGGCTCCCCACCACTTAAACGTGGATGTACTTGCTTTGAAACGAAAGAAGTAAGTGCTTCCATGTTTTGGTGATGGTAAGTCTTCCTTTTACATTTTTATAAGCTTTTTAGAAAAGAACTTAATTGTATTAACCGTTTCTCCTATATTTAAGCTTCATTTTGTATTTTAAAGTCTGTTCAGGAACCCCCTCTACTTTAACATGGAGGCACTTGCTGAGACATGACAAAAATAAGTGCTTCCATGTTTGAGTGTGGTGGTTCCTACTTAATCAGCAATTGTGTTAATGCCCACTTTGTGTGCAGTTCATGGCTACAGGCCATTACTGTTGCTAATATGCAACTCTGTTGAACAAAATTGGAATTGCACTTTAGCAATGGTGATGGATTGTTAAGCCAACGACAACAGAATTTAAACCATAGACTTACTTTGATAGTACTCTTAATGGTATAACTTCTTCTCCCATTTTATGTCTCTCTTTATGTTTTTTCTTGTGTTTTCTTTTTGTTTTTAAGAGAGAGCTATCTTTTAGATCTCCAGCATCCTTTTCCTCTTCAGTAGAGATTTCTATATCTTGAAATAAAAAGGTCAGTTAAGACATCGAGCTGCGAAGTGGGTGAAGTAGAAGCTTAATTTATCTAATTAAAACTTGGAGATTTACCTCTATTTTCTTTGGAAAGTTCTGAAGCTTCCTTAACCATGTCTTTCTGAATAATTTTCTTTACTTTCAATCGGGGAGCTAGGGATTCTGCATCTTCAGAGCTACTTCTCTTCCTCTTCCCTGATCTGACTTCAGGTAAGCTGGATACTTCAACTTTATCCCGTTTTTTCTTTTTCTTTGAAGGCTGCTTTTGGGGTTCAGGAGACTCTAGATCAGAGCCCTCAGATGTGGGTCTGGATCTTTTCATTTTACTTAGGCTAGTGTTGCTTGTGTCCATGTTTTCCTCTTTGGGTTGGACATTGTCTTCCTTCTTCATTCGGCCTTTCTTCTTCTTTTTCTTTTTCTTCTCTTCTGTAAAAATGCCATCATTATTAGTTTCATCATACTGCAACTACATCTATTTAAATATTGAAGAATACTCACCCACAGCTCTTAAGGATGGAATGGGTTTATTTTTCACTGTTTTAGGAAATATGCCAGGTTTTCTTGGTGCTTCTTCTGGTGGGTTGTTAAGAAACTGTAATGATTGCAAAAAAGTTTCAGTATTTTGATACTTGTTATTATATTTTCTTTTTTTTTCCTTTTTAGGATCTGGACCTACCTCAATTGCTTTTGCTGCTTGTTCTTTTGTTTCAAATTCTACAAATGCAAATCCTTTCGGATCTCCAGTAGATTTATAATGTGGTATACTTATATAAACCACATTGCCACATTTCCCAAAGACTCTTTCAATCCAACTGTGATTAACATTTTTAGGAAGTAACTCCTAGGATAAATTAGAAGCAACATTAGTTTTTCACAATGCTTATTTTCTGAATGTCAATAAATTTTCATCTTAATTATGCTTCTATGTCAGTTTCTGACTGGGGATCTGGGCTCTTGCTTACCACATACACAGTGCGCTCATCCTCATCCTTTGGTCTTTCCCCCAGAGGTTTTTTTCTCCTGATTCTGGTGCCTTCCAAATCAAGCTTTAAAACAGTACATTACATTAATAAAACTATAATTACGGGATATCATAAAACTCCAGTCATTCTTAATTCTTACCTCTACAACAGCTGAACTTCTCAATGCTCTGGCAATTAACTTCCCATCAGTAGTCAATTTTTTCATTTTGTTAAAAGACACAAGTAGTGATATATCAACATCTAATGAAAATGAAAACAATGATAGTGTTAGTATATCAACAGGTTTAACCTGCCCCTCAGGCTAGACATGGTGGCTCACGCCTATAATTAATTATAGCACTTTGGGAGGCTGAGGCGGGTGGATTTCCTGAAGTTAAGGAGTTCAAGACTAGCCTGGCCAACTTGGTGAAATGCCAACTCTATTAAAAATAAAAAATTAGCTGGGTACAGTGGCAAGTGCCTGTAATCTCGGCTACTCTGGAGGCTGAGGTAAAAGAACTGTTTGAACCTGGGAGGTGGAGGCTGTGAGATCGTTGCCATGAGATCACACTACAGTACTCCAGCCTGCGAGACAGAGGGACACTTCATGTAGAAAAAACAAAACCCTCCTGCCCCTCCGTGCCATTTAGCATTATTAAGTATATTGTGTGTGGGGGGTAGTTTAGTATAAGGTCTAAAATGGCACTGCATATTTGGCAGACCTAAAATGTCACATTTTAGTGTATGTGATTGGATATTAAGATTTAAACAAATTATTGCTTAGTAATATCTAGACATTCTAAGAGGATATCTGGATCCCATTCTCTTAGTTGGAATGAGTGAACAAGTGCATTCCAGCCTCAGGAAAAAAAATCTTGCCTCAAAAAAGTTTTTTTAAAGAGGGGAAAAAACGACATTGAACTAAAGTATAGCACTGTCATCTCCAGTTACACATGATATATGATTACTGAAGCAATGAAACCCCAAAATACTTAAAAAGATAAGCTTTGATTTGAAATTGCTTATTTAATATAGCCTAAACTCTTATCAACAGTCTAAATATTTAGAAGGTTGTCATTCACTAAATTAAAACAGATTACAAGAAACATTCACAGAAATGAATATATACACTATAGAATACACTATTTTATGGCTGGGCGTGGTGGCTCATGCCTATAATCCCAGCACTTTGGGAAGGCGAGGCGGGTGGATCACGAGGTCAAGAGATCAAGACCATCCTGGTCAACAAAGTGAAACCCCATCTCTACTAAAAATACAAAAATTAGCTGGACATGGTGGTGCATGACTGTAGTCCCAGCTACTCGGAAGGCTGAGGCAGAAGAATTGCTTGAACCCAGAAGGCGGAGGTTGTGGTGAGCCGAGATGGTGCCATTGCACTCCAGTCTGGGTAACAACAGCGAAACTCCATCTCAAGAAAAAAAAAAAAAAAAAAAAAAAAAAGCAGCACTATGTTAGGCTGGGCATGGTGGCTCATGCCTGTAACCCCAGTATTTTGGGAGGCCAAGGCAGGCAGATCATGAAGTCAGGAGTTCGAGACCAGCCTGGCCAACAGTGAAACCCCATCTCTACTAAAAATACAACAATTAGCTAGGCATGGTGGTGTGTGCCTGTAGACCCTACTAGGGAAGCTGAGGCAAGATGATTGCTAGAACCTGGGAGGCGGAGGTTGCATGAACTAAGACTGCATCACTACACTCCAGCCTGGGAAACAGAGCAAGACTCCGTGTCAAAGAAAAAAAAAAAAGAATATACTACTTTATAAGTAAATTCAGAGGCAACCATTAAATTCAGAGGCAACCATTATCCACAAGTTGGTCCCTTTACTGAAGCAAACTTACATCCATCTCTAGATTTTTCTATCTGTTCTCGAAGAAATCTATCCTTGTGAAGATTTGCATCCCCAAACCAGAAGTCCACTTGCTTAGCAATATCTGCAAGCACCTGTTTAACTCGTGATCGTTTCTTTTTTTCAACTTCTTTTTTCTTTTCAGTGCTTTCTTCTTCCATTATCTTTTCTTGATTTCCACTTTCAGTTTCCATTCCTGTGCATTATAAGAAAAAGAGGTAAATATTTAAATCAGCAAAACAGCAAATATAGTTTAATTTAGAGTAGCCTTTAATTGTCTGAGAGAATAATGGTCTCATCATTTGGCTGTCAGAAGACAAAAGGAAAATTTATTTTTATATTTAATAATTTAAATTATAAAATAATTTACCTCCTATGTTAGAAATCGCAGCTTTAGTTTTTTTCCACCTTTTAAATTGCAGGGCCAGATTATTCTAGTATAACATAACAACTATGCGTTTATCTCACTAAGCTGTACTTTTAAGCCAGTAAATGAAAAGTGTAAGATTAAGCAACCTGGATATTTTCCATCACAACCACCACCCTCCCCCACCAAATAAGTTTTATTCACTTTTCTTTTTTTGAAATGAAGTTTCATTCTTGTTGCCCAGGCTGGAGTGCAATGGTGTGATCTTGGCTCACTGCAACCTCCGTCTCCTGGGTTCAAGCAATTCTCCAGTCTGAGCCTCCTGAGTAGCTGGGAATTACAGGTGCCCACCACTACACCCGGCTAACTTTTGATATTTTTGGTAGAGATGGGGTTTCACCATGTTGGCCAGGCTGGTCTGGAACCCCTGACCTCAGGTGATCTACCTGCCTTGGCCTCCCAAAGTACTGGCATTGGCCGGTGTGCCCGGCCTATTCAGATTTTTAATATTATAACCTTTATGGGACAAAATAAAAATAAACTGATTATTGATTTTGATTTTTAAAATGTTAATTTATGCTTTCTAGAGGCAGAAATTTCTTTTTTTACTTTTTTTTTAATCTTTTTTTTTTTTTTTAGATGGGGTTTCACATGTTGGTCAGGCTGGTCTTGAACTCCCAACCTCAGGTGATCCGCCTGCCTTGGCCTCCAAAGTGCTTGGATTATAGGCCTTAGCCACCACGCCTGGCCTCTTGGGCAGCAATTTCTAACCCCCTCCTTCCTCAAGTTACTTTGCATAGCTCTTCCCCTTTGCTTTGTCAGCTCCAGTCATACTGTCCTTGTTGTACTTCCTGAAACTCACCCAGCAAAATCTATCAGGTCTAAACCTGTTCTTGAAACACATATCCCCAGCGATAACAGCTTGCTCTCCTACCTCCTCAAGTGCCTATTTAAAGGTCACCTCTTTGAAGTCTCCTCCCACAACCATATTTAATAATGCAAATTTCTGGACACATACATGGTAACTTCCATGTCTTATTTTCGTCCATAGCATTTATCATCTAACATTACTACAACTACTTTGCAATTCATTTTCTTTCCTAGAATGTAAGATCAATGAAATCAGAGATTTTTGTCTGTTTTGTTTACTGACAGATTGTCAGTCCCTGCCACAACAGTCCCTTAAAAATCTGTTGAATAAATTGTGCCTACATTTTGTTGAATGAATTGAATCACTTGAGGTATATGAGCAAAGGATCCGGTCTGGGATAACACAGCCTGCTTGAGAATAACCTCAGTCTCCCATAATACAGTCTTCTTGGAAACTGGAGAAACCAATGGGGAGTGTTGTATCTGTTTCCCATGTTGTACCTGGTTTGGAGCAGCTATTGAATGACATGGAGGCCTTATACCTATGTGACCGGAACAACAGATTGACAGGCAAAAGGTGTTAAAGCTTTTATGTGTCAAATTATCCTAAACACACCTTGGTCCTTATCTAGGGAAGCCATACATGCCTCTTGTGGGTAAATGGGAGAAAAAAGAAACGAATCTGGGTAATTGCTAGATATAATGGCTTGGCCATTGCTGGGATGAAGAAGCTATATCTACCCTATCTTTTGCCTTGTATCTTTCTTTGGTAAACATAGTATTTGAATCACTTGAGTCTGATAGCTGGTAAGAGGGTCCAAAGCCCTTAATGCATTTCACCTCAAATCTCCAACTAAACATGCATTCTCATCAACAGAAGGACATTTTGGCATTTTAGAACAGGCTTCAGTAGATCAGTCAAGCACCAAGTTTGAAGATATCCAAGTAATATCATATTTAGGTGATGCTAATTTAAGACATAAAACACAGCTACAGGTCAGAATAATAGAAAAACAATCAGGTGTCATTAAGTACCACATAACCACGTTCTTCACCTAATGGTCTTACTTCAACCCATTCTGTCAGGCTTTCCTCTGCACCATTCTAGAGATACTGCAAAGTCCTCAATGGGCTTGGTCTACTTGACCTCTCAGCAGCAAATGCAGTTGGTAACTTCCTCCTTGAAAATACTTTCTTCGGCTGGTCATGGTGGCTCACACCTGTAATCCCAGCACTTTGGGAGGCTGATTACAGATGCCTGCCACCATGTCTGGCTAATTTTGTATTTTTAGTAGAGATGGGGTTTCACCATGTTAGTCAGGCTGGCCTTGAACTCCTGACCTCAGGTGATTCACCTACCTTGGCCTCCTTCAACTTATTTAAGGATGCCATATTCCACCAAAAATTAACCAATCAAGCTATTTATTAGCTGTGTGGATTTTGAGGAAGTTACACCATCTCTCTGTGGTCTATAAAACATGGATAAAAATCATACCTATGTAATAGTCGTCAGCATTAGCCAAAATAATGAAAATAAAGTACTTCAAATTGCTGATACACAGAACACAATAAGTAACCATTATTCTATTCAATCTGTTGTTAAATCTTATCAGTTTGACTTTTGAAATGGCTCCTCATCTCCATCCAGTGTTTTCTGCAACTACTGTCACTAGAATATGGCCACAGTTTATAAACTGTTCTGTAAGTCATCTGTTCTCAGCAGGAGCCTATGTATAACCCATCTAAAATACAGACTTGGTTTTGTGATGCTTATGTCAAAACATGCAACATTTGAAATTCCTAAGCACCTTCCTGTAACATAATACACAATTTAAGAAAACATTGCTTAAAAAAAAAGTAACATTTTACTGGAATAAAAGTTACCATGTAACACCACCAGTTACTTTATATACATTTTTGTAAATCCTCACAATCCCACAAGGTAGCAGTTTCTTCCTTTTTTTTTTTTTTTTTTTTTAGACACTGTCTTGCTCTGTCACCCTGGGTGGAGTACAGTGGCACAATCTTGGCTCACTACAACCTCCGCCTCTGGGATGCATGGTTAATTTTTGTACTTTTAGTAGAGACAGGGTGCCATGTTGGTCAGGCTGGTTCTTCCATCTTCTTAAGACTCAAAGGTTAAGTCACTTGGTCAAAGCTAGCTAAGTAAGTTGTCTCAGGTATGTTTGATCCCAGATTGTCTACCTTCTGGTAGAATTTCCTGCAATTTATCACCATGGACTCTATGTTCTGACTCAAAATTTTTTTTCAATTTTTTTTTTAAAGACGAGGTTTCACCATGTTGGTCAGGCTGGTCTTGAACTCCAGACCTCAGGTGATCTGCCCAGCTTGGCCTCCAAAGTGCTTGGATTACAGGCGTGAGCCACCACGCCCGGCCTGACTCAGGAATTCTTAACCTGAAGTCCATGTAACTTTGGACAAGAATTCTTGGGGGCTCCATTAAACTGTTAAATGATACACATTAAAGATAAGGTTAAAAAAAAAGACTCTTGTACAAATATAAAATGAATTCATGGTAAAGATTTAAGGACAGTCATGGGTTGCATAATGACAGGGACACATTCTGAGAAATGCATAGTCAGGTGATTGTGTAAGTACATCACAGAGCGTGCAGTTATTCTATGATATATTCACACAAACCTAGGTAGTATCAGCTACTACACACTTACAATTTTATGGGACCACTGTCATACATGTGGTCTGTCATTATGTAGTGCCTGACTGTAAATGAGGAAACCAGTTAAGTGTTAAAAACCAGTTCAGGCTGGCTGTGGTGGCTCACAGCTGTAATCCCAGTACTTTGGGAGGTCGAGGTATGTGGATCACCTGAGCTAGGAGTTCAAGACCAGTAGGACCAACATGGAGAAACCCCATCTCTATTAAAAATATAAAAATTAGCTGGGCATGATGGCACATGCCTATAATCCCAGGTACTCAGGAGGCAGAGGCAGGAGAAATGCTTGAATCCAGGAGGCGGAGGTTGCGGTGAGCCGAGATTTCAAGATTGCACTCCAGCCTGGGCAACAAAAGCAAAACTCTGTCAAAAAAAAAAAAGCAGGTACATAATTAGAAACGTTGAAATAAATATTAATAAATACTAGTCAGGACAATAATTAATTGCATCTTTATTGGACAAACCTAATTTCCGTATTGCTTTCTACAGCTTAAACAGTTGTAAAATAGTTAAAAGATTATACATAGATAACCTGGAAAAGTGAGCCTGACACCAAGACATTTGTGTGTGTGTGTTTGCTATTTAAAAGTATTTCGTGGCCAGGCGCGGTGGCTCAAGCCTGTAATCCCAGCACTTTGGGAGGCCGAGGCGGGTGGATCACGAGGTCAACAGATCGAGACCATCCTGGTCAACATGGTGAAACCCTGTCTCTACTAAAAATTACAAAAAATTAGCTGGGCACGGTGGCGCGTGCCTGTAATCCCAGCTACTCAGGAGGCTGAGGCAGGAGAATTGCTGAACCCAGGGGGCGGAGGTTGCGGTGAGCCGAGATCGCGCCATTGTACTCCAGCCTGGGTAACAAGAGCGAAACTCCGTCTCAAAAAAAAAAAAAAAAAAAGTATTTCATAATTTTTTCTGAGGAAATTATAGGGATTCTTGCTGTTGTCACCCAGGCTGGAGTGCAATGGTGCGATCTCAGCTCACTGAAACCTCTGCCTCTCGGGTTCCAGCAATTCTCCTGCTTCCGCCTCCCGAATAGCTGAAGTTACAGGTGCCCGCCACCACACCCCCAACTAATTTTTGTATTTTTACAAAAAGGATGGGGTTTCACTATGTTGGCCAGGCTGGTCTTGAACTCCTGACCTCAGGTGTTCCACCAGCCTCGGCCTCCGAAAGTGCTGGGATTACAGGCGTAAGCCACCGTGTCTGGACTAAAATGTTTGTTTTGTTTCGAGACGGAGCCTCGCTTTGTTGCCCAGGTTGAAGTGCAGAGGCACGACCTCGGCTCACTGTAATCTTCGCTCCCTGGGCTCAAGCGATTCTCCTACCTCAGCCTCCTAAGTAGCTGAGACTACAGGCATGCATCACTGCTCTTCGCTAATTTTGGGGTTTTTAGTAAAGACGGGGTTTTGCTATATTGACCAGGTGGTCTCGATCTCCTGTGATCTGCCCGCCTTGGTCCCCCAAAGTGCTGTGATTACAGGCGTGAGCCATCGTGTCAAGCCTCGAAAATGTTTTAACAGGTGAACATGTATGTTTTCCTGAGAAACTAATCCATAACGTTTACTATGTTTTCAAAAGAAGTGTGCCAAAAACAGGTTAAGAATCATTGCTCTAGTCACTGCCTACAATTCAAATCCTTCAACACTAAGTGGCCTGGGTCTTTTACCTTGTCTGAATTTTCTCAATTTCCTTATTAGATTTTCAAGATCCAGGTTAAATGGCAGCTTACTCTTTGAGGTCTTCCACCACCATGTGGTCTCTAATTAATTGCCTCCTCATTTGTTTTCTCTAAGTTTCTTTACTAACGCACTCTGCATACCGTATCTAGCATTTATTGTTAGTTCCCTTCCATAACTGGACTTTTAACGCTTTGAGGACGATGGCAGAGTCCTGCAAACGAAGATGATAATTTTAGAATATAAATCCTCACGTTCGTTATCCTCTGGCAGCCATAGCTCAGCTCCGATTTGCGAAATAAGGCACTCTCTTTACTGACTACTGCTTCTGTCGGCATCCGTATTTCCGCACGGACGCCGTCAGTTGCTCGGCGCGCCCCAAACCTCCCCACGCAGGGTCCCTAAGCGCCCCCACTCTCGGAAGACGGGAACTACAAATGCTGCCGGAGGACTTTGGCGCGTGCGCATAGAGAACTTGGCCAAGGAACTGATGGGAGCGCGTGAGGGGGGCGGGGTAAGAAGGACAACAGATGATAGAGTAGACCGCGAGAAAAAGAACGGAGTTATTTCGAGTTCGCGCAAGCTGAGCGACCATATAGGCCGCCTGTAACTTACTCCGTTCAACTCCCAAAATAAAGGGTCAAGTACTGCGGCCTTCAGTTCTTTCAGCCTCCCGATCCCGACAGTCTTGGTTACTTTCGCGTCATAGGACAAGCGACAGCGTTCTTCGGTCCCAGTCGAGAAAGACAGGCCCGGACGCAGTGCGCGCGCCACCTACGTCACAGGCGAGGTGGTTTCCGGGAGGGCGGGGCATCGGAGAACGCGGCCGGCTGAGGGGCTCAAAGCCGAGGAAGAACATGATTGGCGGGTTGAAAGTGTCGGTTTTTGGCTGAGACAGAGGTGGGCGGGCTAAATCTTGGGTCCTCATCTGGTACGGTCCCGTGTTAATGACGTCACACTGTTTCGCGGGAGAAATTCGAAAGTGGATTTTGTGGAATTTGACAGGTGAGGTGAAGGTGTTACTCGGGATTTCCTAGGAATGAAAGGTAAATAGGCAGGGAGACTTGGGGGATTTGGGGCGAAGGGACGAAAGACTGCTCCATAAGAGAACCGGGAGGGATACTATTTGGAACCATGATTATGGTGATCGCAGCTGCTCGAACTGCTTGTAAAAAGTTGTGCCTCTTGTTCACCGCTTTTCCCAGGGCCTGCTTTGCAATTTCGAGTGTGTATGAGGACCAAAGAGGGCTTTGCTGTTTGTATTTGGGACCGAGAAAGGATCAAATCTCCATTGTCATTTGGTGACACAGGATTATGGTTATTAGAATCTTTGAAAATGAGATGTGGGTTTTCTTTTTGAGACTGAGCCTTGCTCTGTCTCCCGGACTGAAGTGCAGTGGCGCGATCTCGGCTAACTGCAAAACTTCCACTTCCAGTGTTCAACCAATTCTCTGCCGTCCCCTCCCGAGCAGCTGGGATTACAGGCCCCTGCCACCACACCCGGCTTATTTTTGTATTTTTAGTAGACACGGAGTTTCACCATGTTAGCCAGGCTGGTCTCGAACACCTGACCTCAGGTGATCTACCTGCCTTGGCCTCCCAAAGTGCTGGCATTACAGGCCTGAGCCACTGTGCCTGGCCTGCACTTCACTCCTTAATTGCATTAGAGCGCCCTCATCAGGCATATCAATTCCTGTTTGGGAAGACCTTCATTGGCCTTCCCTTGACTAATAGTTACTTCAGCTTACAACTTAGATTTTACTTCCTTGAAGAAGGCTTGTTTGATGATCAACACCAAGCCAGGTGCCCTTCCTGTGCTTACTCCTGCCATATTTTATTAAAATTACTGTTTATCACTCTGCCATACTGAAATTCGTTGAGATGAAGTATAGAGATTCCATTTAAATATTTTAGCCTAGCATAATGTCTGGCACGTCTTAATAAATATATATAACTTATAAATAATATGTAAGTGGCATATTTTATATGTCTAAAGGAGGAACTGAACTCAAATTACACATGATAGCTTTATTGAATCCTTCTAGGTTTTTTAGATCTGTATTCTCAAACTTTTTATTTGAGACAGAGTTTCGCTGTTGTTACCCAGACTGGAGTGCAATGGCACGATCTTGGCTCACCGCAACCTCCGCCTTCTGGGTTCAAGCAATTCTCCTGCCTCAGCCTCCCGAGTAGCTGGGACTACTGGCGCGCACCACCATGCCCAGCTAATTTTTGTATTTTTAGTATCAACGGGTTTCACCTCGGTGACCAGGATGGTCTTGATCTCCTGACCTCGTGATCCACCTGCCTCAGCCTCCCAAAGTGCTGGGATTATAGGTGTGAGCCACCGCGCCCGGCCTGTATTCTCAAACTTGAGATTCCATCACCATCACTTGGAGGGCTTCTTAAAACACAGACTGTTGGGCCCCAAGCCTAGACTTTCTGATTTAATAGGTCATTTCTTTCTTTTTTTCTTTTTTTGAGACGGAATTTCATTCTTGTTACCCAAGCTGGGGTGCAGTGGCGTGATCTTGGCTCACTGCAACCTCCGCCTCCCAAGTAGCTAGGATTCCAGGCACGTGCCACCACACCTGGCTAATTTTTGTACTTTTAGTAGAAACAGGGTTTCACCATGTTAGCCAGGCTGGTCTGAACTCCTGATCTCAGATGATCTGCCCACCTCGGCCTCCCAAAGTGCTGGGATTACAGGCGTGAGCCAGATGATACTGTTGGTCCAGGGGTCACATCTTTAGCACCACTTTAGGAACAAAAAAAGAGAATACGTCTCTTTGGCATTTCTGTTTACTTCTTCAGGTCACCATCAGTGATTTTAGATTTCCAAATTTTCCCATAATAACAATTTTGTCCAATAGCATAGCATGACTACAGTAACTGTTACAACAGTGTTGGAAAGATTTTTCCTTGCAGAGGTACTATATAATATATATTTGTTCCTAGATACTGTGGTATATTGATGTAAGATGTGAAAGGAAAAATTTAAAACACAAGGGAGCCATCTTGTGGTGGCTATAGCAATTCAGAAAACTTTAAACATTAAATTTAGACCATAAGGAACCAAATGTGGAGGACAAATTTGTATTTTCTGATGCATATTATGGCACCTGGAAAAACGTTTGCAGACTCCAAATTAGTTTATATATTTTACTTAGTTTTTTCTTGTGAAAAAATTCTTGTTTCATAGCATATCACTTTCACTGTGTCCTCAGTGATAGATAATTTTATTACAACTCCGTTTTCCTTGGTAGTTAGGTAGTCTTGGAATTTGTTGATTCATGTCTGTCTGTGGTTAAGAGTTTATTGAGAAAAATTATATTTGATACTTTGAAAAAATCAAGGTTGATATTTTATGTCATTTTTAATTTTAGGTTGTATAAATAGTTGAATAACTACTTCCTATTTTCTGGACCCAGCAGTTTATAACTTCAGAAGAAATGATGGAAAGCCAAGAATTTATTGTAAGTTTTACCATTTTTCACAATTGAAATGCCCTTCCTGTCTCCCTTTCTTCCTTCTTTCTTTTAAAGGTGCTTCACAAACGTCTTGCTGTATTGACAGATTTAGCAAAAACAAAACAAAAAACAGGCTACTAAGTTAAATTTGAATTTCATATAAACAATGCATATATTTTTTGGCATATGTTTCTGGCAACCCTACCTGTACCTGCTATTTATATTTGTGACACAAAATCATCACTTTTCAGCCTTTTGGCTAAGATCAAGTATTAGACAAAGTCCTTTGGAACCTATTCTTTGGAAGTGTGAGACCAGGAAAACAATTTCTTCTCTTAAAGAACTGGCACGCCTTTTCTGTACAGATGATTGGTTCTCACATGATTGGGTTTTAGGACTCTTCAACACTCTAGACAATTATTGGCCCCAAAGAACTTGTGAGATGTAGGTCTCACATCTATTGATGTTTTTCATATTAGAAGTAAGTTAAAGCAAATATGTAAAAAGTATTTATGATTTGACTTAATAGAAGACAACTAGAGTCTCATATTTGTTTCTACATTCAGGTTGCAATTGAATCTTGCAATATTGCATATACATAATCCTGGGAAACTTCATTCTGCAATCCTGAAGGAGTGAGGATGAAAAGACAGCATGATGAAAATAGTTTTCACCTCACAGACATCTGTAAAGGTCTTGGACTCCTCCAGGAGTCTCTAGACCAAACTTTGAGAACTGCACAGATTATAAGTACTGTGTAACTCAATAATTTTTTCCCTTTTCACGGATGACTAGGGAGCTCAAATTACTTTCAGTACTCATTTATCTTTTTTGTTTCTTCCTTGGATTTTTCCTCTCCTTTCTTCCTTCCCCTTTCTTTTCCTCCCTTACTCCCTCCCTCTTCTTTTCCTTACCTCTCTTCCCTCTTCCTTCCTTCCCTTTTTCTTTCACTTAATTAATGTTTAATGTTATTATCATATCTGTGCTTCTGTTTTTAAAATTTAAAAAATTGATATGGGTGTATATGCCTTTTTTTGATGAAAGGTGCCTGAAATATATTTCATATGTAGGAAGGATATATGAAATATATAACATTGAATATATATAATGGGAACCATTTTTTTTGTGTGTTTTTGGAAATAAGGTCCTATATACTCATCAGAAGATGAAGAAGTCAAAAGTGTGGCAAGATGGAATTCTGAAGATCACTCACTTAGGAAACAAAGTGAGTACAAAGCAGTTGACTACAGAGTGTAAGAGTGAGGTTCTTGATTTTTTGATTGGATATTTAAAAAACTATGTGATAAAATGTCAAATATATCCATAAACTGAAATGATGTGAAAACAGATTTTTAATCACAGTGGCTAATTTGTGCGTTATAAAAATAGTTCATTAATAACCTCCTGAAAAAAGGAAAAAAAAATAGTTCACTAGGCCAGATGCAGTGGCTCATGCCTGTAATCTTAGCACTACGGGAGGCTGAGGCAGGTGAATCACCTGAGGTTAGGTGTTTGAGACCAGCCTAGCCAATGTGGTGAAACTCTGTCTCTGCTAAAAATATAAAAATTAGCTGGGTGTGGTGTGCATGCCTGTGATCCCAGCCACTCGGGAGGCTGAGGAGTTGCTTGAACCCAGGAGGCTGAGGAGTTGCTTGAACCCAGGAGGCGGAGGTTGCAGTAAGCTGAGATTGCACTACCGTACTCCAGCCTTGGCAACAAAGTGAGACTCTATCTCAAAAAAAAAAAAAGTGTTCACTAATAGATAGAATGAATAAGGTCTGATGTTCTGTAGCACAATAGAGTGACTTTTTTTTTTGGGGGGGGTGGGGATAGAGTCTCACTGTATCACCCAGGCTGGAATGCAGTGGCATGATCTCGGCTCACTGCAACCTCTGCCTCCTGGGTTCAAACGATTCTTCTGCCTCAGTCTCCCAAGTAGCTGGGACTACAGTTACCCGCTACCACGCCTGGCTAATGTTTTTGTATTTTTAGTAGGGATGGGGTTTCACCATGTGGCCCAGGCTGGTCTTGAACTCCTGACCTTAGGTGATCTGCCTACCTCAGCCTCCCAAAGTGCTGGGATTACAGGCGTGAGCCACTGTGCCTGGCTGAGTGACTAAGGTTAATAATAATGTCTTTTTGTATGTGTGTATATATTTATACATATATTCATTTCTTTTCATTTCTTTTTTTTTTTTTTTTGAGACAGAGTCTCACTCTTTCGGCCAGGCTGGAGTGCAGTGGCACAATCTCAGCTCACTACAACCTTTGCCTCTTGGGTACAAGTGATTCTCCTGTCTCAGCCTCCTGAGTAGCTAGGATTACAAGCATGCACCACACGCCTGGCTAATTTTTGTGTTTTTATTAGAGATGGGGTTTCACCATGTTGGCCAGGTTCATCTCAACTCTCGACCTGAGATGATCCACCTGCCTTGGCCTCTTAAAGTTCTGGGATTACAGACATGAGCCACCATGCTTGCTATGTTTGTATTTCAGAAAGATTGGTTTGGCAGCAGTGTAAAAGTTGTATAGGATGAAAGTCAGATTGGATTTCAAAGACTTAAGGAGGCTGTAGAATAATCTAGACAAAAAGTAATGGAAGTCTGACCAAGCAGGCATTAGCAATGGCAATAGAGAAAAAGAATGATTAGAGAGAAATTATGAAAATATAGCCTCAGCAGGGCGCGGTGGCTTACGCCTATAATCCCAGCACTTTGGGAGGCCGAGGTGGGTGGATCACGAGGTCAAGAGATCGAGACCATTCTGGTCAACAAGGTGAAACCCTGTCTCTACTAAAAATACAAAAATTAGCTGGGCATGGTGGTGTGTGCCTGTAGTCCCAGCTACTCAGGAGGCTGAGGCAGGAGAATTGCTTGAACCCAGAAGGCGGAGGTTGCGGTGAGCCGAGATCGTGTCATTGCACTCCAGTCTGGGTAACAACAGCGAAACTCTGTCTCAAAAAAAAAGACAATATAGCCTCTTACATCTTGGATACTGAAGGTGAGAGGAGTATCCAGAATGACTTTTAGGTTTCTGTACTTATCTCCTAAAATGAGACATTTCAGAAAGAAAAATAAGTTAATGGGAACAATCAAGATTTTTAGTTCCATTTGAACGTAATAAATTTGAGGCTGGTTGCAGTAGCTCATGCCTATAATCCCATGGGAGGCTGAGGCGGGTGGATCACATGAGGTCAGGAGTTCGAGACCAGACCAGCCTGGCTAACATGGTGAAACCCTGTCTCTACTAAAAATATAAAAATGAGTTGGCTGGGCACGGTGGCTCATGCTTGTAATCCCAGCACTTTGAAAGGCCAAGGAGGGTAAATCATGAGGTCAGGAGATCGAGACCATCCTGGCTAACACAGTGAAGCTCCATCACTACTAAAAATACAGAAAATTAGTTGGGCATGGTGGCACGTGCCTATAGTCCCAGTTACTCAGGAGGCTGAGGCAGGAGAATCGCTTCAACCCAGGAGGTGGAGGTTGCAGTGAGCCGAGATTGCGCCACTGCACTCCAGCCTGGGTCACAGAGCCATGCCACTACATTCTCTAGCCTGTGCAACAGAGTGAGACTCCATCTCAAAAAAAAAAAAAACATTAACCACGAGTGGTAGTGGGTGCCTGTAATCCCAGCTACTTGGGAGGCTGAGGCCCAAGAATTGCTTGAATCCAGGATGTGGAGGTTGCAGTGAGCCGAGATCATGCCACTGCACTCCAGCCTGGACGCAAGAGTGAGACTCAGTCTCAAAAAAAGAAAGAATAAATGCAATAAAATAAATAAATAAATTTGAAGTATAGAAACATATAATTAGCTGTAGAGACCTAGAACTCAGGAAGGAGTTCCGGACTACTAGTCCAGACTACTACTAGATTAGAAGTCCTTGGCTTTTAGATGGTATTTGAAACTATTGGAGTGGATTCATTTATTCAACACATATTTTTTGAGCATCTGAGTGAGTTGCACACTGTTCTAAGAAATACAGCAGAGAACAAAACATAAATCCCTGACTTCGTGGAAATAACATGGAGGAGACGGACCACTAAATTAAATGAATATGTATGTCTAGTGAGTAAGACAATAACAAGGACATTATTGTGGTTGGAACAAGTGAGCAAGGGTGAGAATGGAAATAAAGGGGATTATATAAGCCTCAGTGTCCATGGAAAGAACTTTTGTTATTCTTAGGGAGCTGTAGAGACATTGGAATGATTTGAGCAGGAGCATAACATGATCTGATTTATATGGATGATAGTGCTCAGGGAGGGTGTATTGAATTAAAAGAATAGAGGGACAAGAATACCAACTTTTTTTTTTTTGAGACGGAGTCTTGCTTTGTCACCCAGGCTGGAGTGCAGTGACTCCATCGCAAGAATACCATTTTTCAAACAGCTTTATTCACACTTTTCGATTCACCTATTCAGTGATTTTTAGTATTTTCACAGTTTTGCAACCATCAGCACAATTTAAATTTAGCATATTTTTGTCACCCGCAAAAGAAATCTCATACTCTGGCAGTTACTACTCAGTACCCAGCCCCCAGCCCTACGCAAACATGAATCTACTTGCTGTCTCTATAGATTTACCTATTCTGGACATTTTTGCATGAATGAAATTATATAATGAATAATCTTTTGTGAATAAGTCTTATTTAGAATATTTTCAAGGTTCTTCTATGTTGAAGCATATATCTTCATATATATTTTATTTATTTATTTGAGATGGAGTCTGTGTTGCCCAGGCTGGAGTATAGTGGCATGATCTTGGCTCACTGCAACCTCTACCTCCTGGGTTCAAGTAATTCTTCTGTCTCAGCATCCTGAGTAGCTGGGACTATAGGTGCTTGCCACCACGCCCAGCTAATTTTTGCATTTTTAGTAGAGTTGGGGTTTCACCATATTGGCCAGGCTGGTCTCGAACTCCTGACCTCATGATCCACCCGCCTTGGCCTCCCAAAGTGCTGGGATTACAGTTGTAAGCCACCACACCCGGTCTGTATTTTATTTTTTATTGGCAAATAGTATTACACTGTAAGGATTTATCATGATTTTCTTTTTTTTAATAGATAGGGTCTTGCTCTGTCACCCAGGCTGGATGACAATGGTGTAATCATAGCTCACTGTAGCCTCAAACTCTTAGGCTCAAACAATTATTCTGCCTTAGCCTCCTATGTAGCTGAGACTACTTAGGCTTGCACAGCCATGTCTACTAATTCAAAAAAATTTTCTGGCCAGGCATGGTGGCTCATGCCTATAATCCCAACACTTGGGAGGCAAGGTGGGTGGATCATGAGGTCAGGAGGTCAAGATGGTGAAACCCTGTCTCTACTAAAAATACAAAAAATTAGCTGGGCGTGATGGCAGATGCCTGCAATCCTAGCTACTCAGGAGGCTGAGGCAGGAGAATCACTTGAACCTGGGGGATGGAGGTTGCGGTGAGCCGAGATCACGCCATTGCCCTCCAGCCTGGACAACAAGAGCAAAACTCCATCTCAAAAAAAGGTTTTTTTCTTAGAGATAGAGTCTTGCTATGTTCCCTGGACTAATCTTGAACTTCTGGTCTCAGACGATCTTTGCATCTCAGCCTATAGAGTACCTGGAGTACCTGAGATTATACCATGAGCCATGTACTGAGCCCAATAGGTCATGTTTTTTTTATCCATTTATAATACGTTGATATACATTTGGGTTACTTCGACTTTTTGGCCATTATGAATAATGCTGCTATGAGCATTTATGTGCAAGTTTTTTTTTTTTTTTTTTTTTGAGACAGAGTTTCGCTCTTGTTACCCAGACTGGAGTGCAATGGCACGATCTCGGCTCACCTCCACCTTCTGGGTTCAGGCAATTCTCCTGCCTCAGCCTCCCAAGTAGCTGGGACTACAGGCGTGCACCACCATGCCCAGCTAATTTTTGTATTTTTAGTAGAGACGGGGTTTCATCTTGTTGACCAGGATGGTCTCGATCTCTTGACCTTGTGATTCACCCGCCTCGGCCTCCCAAAGTGCTGGGATTATAGGCATGAGCCACCGCACCTGGCCTTATGTGCAAGTTTTTGTATAGACATATACAAAAGTTTTTCTCTTGGGTATATACCTAGGAGTGGAATTGCTGGGTCATATGAGAACTTTATGTTTAATCTTTTAAGGAATTGCCAAACTGTTTTCCAACGTGATGGAAACACCAGTGTTAAAGGGGCTAGTGGAAAAATTGCTATGAAAAAGGGCTAGAGACAAGGGGAAAGCTAGAAAATGGTAATTACCTTAGCTTCCTTTTTTCCCCCTTATCCTTCACATTTAACAAGTTTTATTCATTATATCTCATAAATAATTGTCTTATCCTGAATGCCAGTACCTTATTTTAAGTGCTAATCATCTCCTTCATCCTATATACCATCCTACTGCAATAATCTCTCAAATGATCTTGTCTCCTGTTTGTCCCCTTCAATGTGTTTGAATTATGTTTTCTTCCCAATTTCTTTCCTTCCTTCCTTCCTTCCCTCCTCCTTCCTTCCGTCCTTCTTTTTTTTGTTTGATTGAGATGGAGTCTCGCTTTGTTGCCCAGGCTGGAGTGCAGTGGCATGATCTTGGCTCACTGCAACCTCTACCACCCAGGTTCAAGTCATTCTCCTGCCTCAGCTTGTATTTTTAATAGAGATGGGGTTTTGCCCTGTGGGCCAGGCTGGTCTGGGACTCCTGACCTCAGGTGATCCCATCATTTCAGCCTCCCAAAGTGCTGACATTACAGGTGTGAGCAACTGCACCCAGCCTCTTTCCCAGTTTCATTCTCACATCCTCCTGGTAGGAGTTAAGTTCTTGAATTTCTTTTGTGTATGCCTTCATTCTCTTACACAGACAGATGCCTAAAAAACATTCAAAATAGAGGCATTTTCAAATTCAAGTTCAACAAATATATCCTTTCATTATATGATCTACTTATATAACAATTACTTCCTCTTGAAGATGTTTAAGAAAAGCATAATTGTGTTGTTCCCTTATAACATTTATTTTGTTTTAATACAGGCAATTTTATATGATGACAAAGGAGCATGTTTGGAGAGTCTGTTTCTTAAATGCCTTGAGGTATTTTAGTGTGTTTATCTTATTTTTAAGTTATTTAAAAATCTCTCTAAGTACATCCTTTATAAATAATGTTAAATAGTGTAGTCATGATATTAATAATAGTTATAGTTATTATTTCTTGAACATGTAGTATAACTAGACTGTGCTAAAACCTTTTAAATATTGTTTCCTTTAATCTCTACAACTGATGTTTAAATCTAACAAGCTGATATTTATAGATTAGGAGGGCAGTGGAGAAAGGTTAAGTAACTAGCTCATGTTCATAGAGTTACAGTGGTAGGAAGACTGAGATTTGATCCCAAGAGGTGATTCGAGAGTCTAATTTGACTACATGATTTTTTTCATAGGTAGAGGTCTACTGTGGGAATTTTTTTTGTGACATATTCTCATTTAAGTGTAATATTCTCTCACCTAAAAACAGAACTGCTATTCAACCCAACAGACCTATAACTGGGTATATACCCAAAGGAATGTAAGTTGTTCTACCATAAAGACACATGCACCTGTATGTTCATCGTAGCAGTATTCACAATAGCAAAGACGTGGAATCAACCTAAATGCCCATCAGCGATAGACTGGATAAAGAAAATGTGATACAAATACACTATGGAATGTTATACAGCCATAAAGAAAGAGTGAAATCATATTCCATTTCAGGAACACGGATGGAGCTGGAGGCCATTATCCTTAGCAAACTAATGCAGGAACAGAAAACCAAATATTACATGTTCTCACATATAAGTGGGAGATAAATAATGAAAACACATGGACACAGAGGGGAATAACAGACACTGGGGCCTATTGGAGGATGGAGGGAGGCTGGGAGGAGGAAGAGGATCAGGAAAAAATAATGGATACTAGGCTTAGTACTTGGGCGATGAAATAATCTGTATAACAAAGCCCCATGATGCAGGTTTACCTTTGTAACAAACCTGCGCATGTACCCCTGAACTTAAAAGTTAAAAATAAATACATAAGTATTCTCTCATATACTTAGTTTTTGTTTTTCATCTCAAAGAGGAAAAAGCATAGAAAGAGGACTAAAGGCATATTTTAGTGAAAAATAAGGGTATTAGAGTTGGTCATTCTGGGTTCATTTCTCACATCTAAGTACTTCCTGGTCCACCTATGCTCTCTCTGTCTAACTTCTCTGCTGTAAAATGTAGATCATAGACAGACTTTACAAGTTTGGTCTAAGGTTAGAAGTAACTTCTGTAAAGTGCCTAGCAGTTTTAGTATAGTGATTCCTTTTTTTTTTTTTTTTTTTTTGAGATGAAGTCTTGCTCTGTTAGCAAGAGAATGCAATGGTGCACTCTCTTGGCTCACTGCAACCTCTGCCTCTCGGGTTCAAGCAGTTCTGCCTCAGCCTCCCGAGTAGCTGGGATTACAGGTGCTCGCCACCATGCCCACATAATTTTTGTATTTTAATAGAGACGGGGTTTCACTGTGTTAGCCAAGATGGTCTTGATATCCTGACCTTGTGATCCGCCCGCCTCAGCCACCCGAAGTGCTGGGATTACAGCATGAGCCACCGTGCCGGCTCCTTTGTTTTTTTGAGATGGAGTCTTGCTTTGTTGCCAAGGCTGGAGTGTGGTGGCGAAATCTCACCTCACTGTGACCTCTGCCTCCTGGGTTCAAGTGATTCTCCTTCCTCAGCCTCCTGAGTAGCTGAGATTACAGGTGTGCGCCACCATGCCCAGCTAATTTTTTGTATTTTTAGTAGAGATAGTGTTTCACTATGTTGGCCAGGCTGGTCTTGAACTTTTGACCTCCTGTGTTAGCCAGGATGGTCTCTCGAGCTCCTGACCTTGTGATCCTCCCACCTTTGCCTACCAAAGTGCTGGGATTACAGGCATGAGTCATCACACCTGGCCTAGTACAGTGATTCTAAATGTGTTAAAGTGTATATTATGATGATAATGTTGACTTCTGGCCATAGTATTTAATTCATTTTGAAATTTTACATGACATCAATAGTGGTTATGGTACTATAGTTTTTTTAAAGGGTCTAGCAGAATCAGTATCTTAGTATATAGTTTGATTGGTGGTGACTACTATTATTTAATCTTAAAAGATCATTTCATTAGTAAAATATTAATCTGATACGGATTTTGTGTATTTTCAAATTAGGCTGATAATCTTATTTTTATGCTGCAGTCACAGATGGCTGCAAGTACTACATTTGTTCATTTAAGTGATTAAAATGCATTTTTGGAATATAGTTATTTAAACAACTAATGATTTATAATAATGTTACTTTGTGATAATTATGAATATCTTATTTATGTAAAGATATATAGTTGATAATAGCTCCAATTTTTGAAAAGTTACATTTAGTTGTATGGATTCTAAGTGAATTGCTTGACAGGAGGCATTTTTTTCCTTGTTCGTCTTTATATCCCTAGCATGTAATAAAGGCCTCATGTAGGTCCCCAGTACGTAATCCTTATTTACTAATTAACTTTTTTTGTAGAGACATTGTCTCACTCTGTCATCCAGGCTGGAGTATAGTGGTGTGATCATAGCTCACTGCAGCCTTAAACTCCTGGGCTCAAGGGATCCTCTTACCTTAGTCTTCTGAGTAGCTGAGACTATAGGAACATGCCACCATGCCTGGCTAAATTTTTTTGTTTTTTTCAGACAGGGTCTCATTCTGTCACCTAGGCTAGAGAGTAGTGGTGTGATAACTGCTCACTGCAGCCTTGACCACCTAGGCTCAAATTATCCTCCCACCTCATCCCCCTAATAGGTGGGACTACAGGTACATGCCACCATGCATGGCTAGTTTTTTAAAAAGTTTTTTGTAGAGACGGGGTCTTGCTATATTGATTAGGGTGGTCTTAACCTCCTGGCTTCAAGCAGTCATCCTGCTTTGGTGTCTGAAGGGCTGGATTTACAGGTATAAGCCATCCCACCCAGCCCGGGCTAATTTAAAATAAAATTTTTTTGCAGCGACAGGATCTGAATATTTTTTCCCAGGCTGGTCTCATACTCTTGGCCTCAAGCAGTCCTCTTGCCTTGGTCTCCCAAAGTCTTGCAATTACAGGTGTGAGCCACATCTAGCGCTAATATGTGTTGTTGAATAAATAAATTAGAGGCTGGATATGGTGGCTCATGCCTGTAATCCCAGCAGTTTGGGAGGCCAAGGAGGGAAGTCAAGAGGTAGAGACCATTCTGGCCAACATGGTGAAACCCACATCTCTACTAAAAATAAAAAATTAGCTGGGCATGGTGGCGCATGCCTGTAGTCCCAGCTACTTGGGAGACTGAGGCAGGAGAATTGCTTGAACCCAGTAGGCGGAGGTTGCAATGAGCCAAGATCGTGCCACTGCACTCCAGCCTGGTGACAGAGTGAGACTCCGTCCCCCCCCAAAAAAATCAGATAAAATTTTAAATATATTATTGTCATTTTTTGTGCTTATTAATAGTTAACTAGTATATAATAATAAATAATTGAAGACTTTAGTTACTGATTTATTCGTTCAACACCTTTTTATTGGGTCTTAGTGCTAGTGAGCATCCTGGAATACATAGATAATCAAATAATTAGATGTATGTAATTTTGATATTTATTTTTTAAATATTAGGTGAAACCTGGAGATGACTTAGAAAGTGATCGATACTTAATCACAGTTGAAGAGATTAAAGTTGCTGGAGCCACAGGTATCGTTAAGCAGAATATCAATAAAGAAGCACCAGAGTTAAATTCAAGGACACTGATATCCTCTGGCCGATCTCTTGGATGTCAGCCCTCTGGCTTAAAAAGGAGGTTTACTGTAAGTTTTTCTGTGGAAAATAACACATCAGATATAGTTATAAAATTGTTTCAAAAAGTAGTGAATTTTGAAGTGATTATCCTTTATCATTCAAAGGGCACTTAAGAGTATACTTAGTTAGAAAGGAAATAAACCCGACTTTAAAAAATCTTATTACAAATGAATGTAATTTAACAATTTAAAATCTGAATTATTACTTTACCTTAGGCAAAGCACAAACAATATCCTTATTCTTTTTTTTTTCTTAGCCAGTTTATTTCACATTTTCTTTATGGGTAATGGTACAGCTAACAGTTACTTTAATGTTTTCAGGGTTTTCAAGGACCACGTCAGGTTCCGAAGAAAATGGTTATTACAGAAAGCAGTGAATCAGCTGCATCACATGAAGCTAAGAAACCTGGCCCTACTTTTTTTTCTCCATTCTACAGCATGCCTCCTTTGTTTCCTACTGTTGGCAAGAAAGATGTAAATAATATACCAGCAGACCCTGAGAACGTTGTGACTTACAAGAACAGACAGAGAAATGCCACGGATTTTTCTTCAGTTTTTTCTCCATCCTTCCACATTAACCCAGAAGTGCTATGTGAAGAAAATTATTTTTGCTCTCCTATGAATTCTGGAAGTAAACTTTCAGACTCTTTACTGACCAATGAGCCTGTGAAAAGAGATAGTTTGGCATCCCACTGTTCAGGAATTCCACAAAACGCCAGAAGCAAAGCACAGATATTAGCTCTTCTGAAGTCCCAATCAACTGATACCTGTGAGGAACTAAATTCTGAGATGACAGAGCATTTTCCTCAAAAACAACCACATGGAAGTTTAAAGATTGCTACTAAATCAAAGTATGTAATTCAACAGGAAGAGTGTGCTGAGATGAAGAGCACAGAAAATTTATACTACCAGCATCAATCAGAAAATACCATGAGAAATAAAAGCCGCTGGGCCATGTATTTATCCTCACAAAGTTCACCTATGCATTTTTCTACTGAAGATGGGCATGATACAGAAAGGAAACCCAAGGCTCAGGAAGAGGACATGACTTCTAATTTGAAAGATCTTTTCTTACAAAAAAAGATACAGTTCTTTGAAACATGTGCTAAGGAGGGGAAAAAGTGTAATGTAGACAAGTCAGTTGGTAATAATGATCAATCCTGGAATCAAGAAGTAAAATTAGAAATTCCTTCATCCAGTGATGGCAGTAGCTTACAGGTTAAAAGTGCAGAAACTGAAGGTACATTATCAGAATCTGACATTCAAGAAGATAATAAAATATCTTTTAATCAAAATGACAAGGTGTGCATTAAAGGATCAGTTCTCGTTAAAGAAAATGATCAGGGGGTAAATACATGTGGAACACTGGAAAAGGAGTGTGAACAATCAGAGTCATCTCCTCCAGAACCGAAACATCTCCAGACTGAATCTAGTAATAATGCTAGGATCTCTGATGACATTACAGACATGTTTTCTAAAAGTAAAATGGATAATGAAAATCTTATTAGTATTCATGAATCGCTGAGTAATGTAACACAACCATTTTTGGAGGTAACTTTTAATCTGAACAATTTTGAAACCAGTGACAGTGAGGAGGAGTCACATGAAAGCAAAAAAATTAGCCAGGATTCAGAGAGTTCGGTAAAGGACATTTTGGTTAAGGATGACAATTTATGTGTTCAAAAGAGGTCTGAGAATACAAACTGTAAAGAGATTGAGGGTGAACATTTGCCACTCTTGACATCTGTTGGTGGCAAACCTACAGAGACATTTCCTATTAAAGAGACTCTGCCATCACAGTTGTGTGATAAAACTTTTGTGGGTTTTGACTTGGAAATTTGTAAAGCTGGAAACACTGGAAAAGAAATAGAGGAGTATAGTGACACATTGAGCAATTTTGAATCTTTTGAGTGGACTGATGATGTATACATAGGTAACAAAGAAGATGATAATAAATGTATTCAAGAAGTCAGAATTAACTATGACTCTGCTTTACTTCCAAATAAATCTAAAGATATAAACATGAATTCACATATTTCTCATATTCGAAACCAGACTGCTGAAAACAGTAACCTATTTTCAGAAGATGCTCAACCTCATCCTTTTATTTTGGGAAGTTTAGACAAAAATGATGAACATGTTTTACCATCAACTTCTAGCAGTGACAGCAGTGTCCAACTATTAAATACCAATCAGAATCACTCTGATTGTATTACACTTGATAAATCAAATACCCACATTTCCAATTCTTTGTTTTACCCACTGGGAAAAAAGCATCTTATTTCCAAAGACACAGAAGCACATATATCTAAACCTGAAGATTTGGGAAAGATTATTAGTCTACCCCCTAACCATATTGAAGCTGAAACTTCCAGAGAGGACAAACAATACTGGAATCCTAGAAATTCTTTAGAACTTTCTGGATTAGTAAATACCATTTCCATTTTAAAGTCACTATCTGAACACAGTACTGCTTTAGACAGCTTGGAAATATTGAGAAAGAAAAATAATGTCTTTGAACAAGGAACTCAACAGACATATGAGCCAGATAGCAGTCCTGAAGGTTAGAATTGAATGTCTATTTTGGCTTGTTCTCTTTTTTTTTTCTTTTTCTTTTTTGGGGGGGGAGGAAGGCAGGAAGGGAGGGAAGAAGGACGGTAGGGAGGAAGGAAGGGATGAAGGAAGGAAGGAAGGGAGGAAGTCGGGAGGGAGGGAGGGAGGGAAGGGAAGGAAGGAAATCAAGCAATGAGAGAGACATTGCCGACCTGGATCTAGAGGTTTACAAGTTGATTTCTTTTTTTTTTGAGAGAAGGAAAGAAAAAAAAAATAAGTAAAGGAGAGGAAGAAAGAGGAAGAGAAAGAGGGAGAGTAAATGGAAATAATTGCTTTATTTTGAAAAAAATTGGGTATTAATAATGGCTAATCAATGTTTCATTTAAACTTACGGGTAGGTGTGATGTGGTATTTACTAAAATGTATATTTTGTGTATTTGAAGTGGAGAGCTCTATAAATATTTATTAAGTTTACTTGTTCCGGATCTGAGTTCGAGTCCTTGATATCCTTATTAATTTTCTGTCTCATTGAATCTAAGTCTTGTATCTGGGTGTTAGGATCGTTAGCTCTTGTTGTTGCATTGATCCTTTTACCACTATATCTTTGTTGCTTTAAAATCTATTTTATCCGATACGAGAATTGCAACTCCTGCTTTTTATTTATTTATTTATTATTTATTTTTGCTCTCCATTTGGTTGGTAAATCTTTCTCCATCCCTTTGTTTTGAGTCTTTGTGTATCCTTGCATGTGAAACAGGTCTGGATGTAACATGCCATTGGGTTTTGGCTGTGTCTTTTGATTGGGGGATTTAGTCAATTTATATTTAGGGTTACTGCCATTTGATGTTGACTGGCTGTTTTATCCATTCGTTGGTATAAATTCTTCTTTATGTTGGTGCTCTTTACTTTTTGGTGTATTTTTAGAAAGACTAATACTGGTTGTTTCTTTCTGTGTGTAATGCTTCTTTCAGAAGCTCTTGTAAAGCAGGCTTGGTGGTAATAAAATCTCTGAGTTCTTGCTTGTTCATAAAAGATTTTATTTTTCCTTCAGTTGTGAAGCTTAGTTTGGCTGGATATGAAATTCTGGGCTGAAGGTTCTGTTCTTTGAGGATGTTGAATATTGGCCCCCACTCTCTTTTGGCTTGTAGAGTTTCTGCTGAGAGATCTGCTGTAAGTCTGATAGGCTTGCCTTTGTGGGTAACCTGACCTTTCTCTCTGGCTGCCCTTAGTATTTTTTCCTTCATTTCAACCCTGGTGAATCTAACGATTATGTGCCTTGGGGTTGCTCTTCTTGAGGAATATCTTTGTGGTGTTCTCTGTATTACCTGGGGTTGAATGTTGACCTGCTTTGCTAGTTTAGGAAAATTTTCCTGAATAATATCCTGAAGGGTATTTTCCAGCTTGGATTCATTCTCTCCGTCGCATTCAGGTACACCTATCAAACGTAAATTTGGTCTTTTCACATGGTCCCACATTTCTTGGAGACTTTGCTCATTCCTTTTTATCCTTTTTTCTCTAATCTTTTCTTCACGTTTTATTTCATTAAGTTGGATTTTGACCTCTGATATCCCTTCTTCTGCTTGAACAATTTGAGTGTTTAAACGTGTGCATACTTCTCGGAGTTCCTGTATTGTATTCTTCAGTTCCGTTATTTCACTCATACTCCTCTCTAAGTTGTCTATTCTCAATAGGATTTCATCAAACCTTTTTTCAAAGTTCCTAGTTTCTTTATGTTGGGCTACAACATGTTCTTTTAACTCACCGAAGTTTGTTATTATCCATCCCTTGAAGAGTGATTCTGTTATTGGGATGCGCTCGTTCTCCATCAAGCCTTGTTCCATTGTTGATGTGGAACTGTGATCATCTTTCGAGGGAGAGGCGTTCTGACTTTGAGTATTCTCAGCTTTTTTACGCTGGTTTCTTCCCGTCATTGTAAATTTATCCTCCTGTCGTCTTTGAAATTACCAACTTTCAGATTGGGTCTCTTGAGTGGGCATCCAGGTTGTTAGTTACCAGGGCCAGAGCAGCAGTGTTAAAACTGATGGTACTTTTCTGCCCAGGATTCTCCTGTCTGGCTTCCTTCTTGTGTCCGTAGTAGGCGACTCTGCCTTCCCGGGGCTCCAAACCTCGGTCAGAAGGGGAACTATTCCCGTTTACTCTGCGCCGAGCGCTGCTGCGCCGAGGTGCCGTCACAGCCGCTGCGCCGGGCTCTGGTGTCCTTCTCGGGACCCGTGCGGGTCCTCCGAACCTGTTTACTCTGCTCCGAGAGCTGCCGCGCCAAGAGTCACGCTGGCCACCCGTGTGTTTCCTCCACTGGGGATCTTCTGCTCCATGAGCGACCAGAATTTGTCTGAAAGTGTGCCGTCCTCTAGTTCTCCGTGCCTTCCCTGAGAGCTGCAATCCCGGGATGTTAGCGATCGGCCATCTTGGATCGTTCTTGGCTTGTTCTCTTTATAGCTCTAAGAGCTATAAAGAATGAAAATATTAGCTCTGGTTGCTACATTAAAGAATTACATAGTGTTTAAGTGGGTAATACATGTACTTAATAAAACTAGTATTAATAGAGAGTAATACAATGAAAAGTAAGTCCCCATCCAACCACATCACTCAGTCTACCCTTCAGAATTAGCTACAGTTTTCTTCTAAGATATCCTTTCAAAAATATTCTATGCATATATAAGCATATATTGGTACATTTAAGTGACTGTGTCAAAAAATATACATATATACGTATGTATGTGTATGTGTATGAATATATCAATCTTTTTTTTTTTTTTTTTGAGACAGTCTCACTCTGTCACCCAGGCTGGAGTGGCTGGCTGCACCTCTGCCTCCCAAGTAGCTGGGATTACAGGTAGGTGTGCACCACCGTGCCAAGCTAGTTACATCTAGTCTTATCATTATTCATTTTTAGACAGGTAGTAGGGAATAATTTTTTTTAAAAAGTGAGTTTATATTAATACTTCTAACTTCAGTTCTTTTTTTTTGAGACAGAGTTACGCTCTTGTTACCCAGGCTGGAGTGCAAAGGCATGATCTCGGCTCACCGCAACCTCTGCCTCCTGGGTTCAAGCAGTTCTGCCTCAGCCTCCGAGTAGCTGGGACTACAAGTGTGCACCACCATGCTCAGCTAATTTTTGTATTTTTAGTAGAGACAGTGTTTCACCTTGTTGACCAGAATGGTCTCAATCTCTTGACCTAGTGATCCACCCACCTCGGCCTCCCAAAGTGCTGGGATTATAGGCGTGAGCCACCGTGCCTGGCCCTAACTTCAGTTCCATACCACAGAGTTCTTTTCCTCTTTCCTTCATTTCATAGTTGTGTTTCTCTTTTATTTTGTTTTTATTTTTTATTTTATTTATTTATTTTTATTTTTTAGGAAGGTAGGAAAGGAGGAAGGGAGAGAGGGAGGAAGAGAGAGAGGGAGGAAGGGAGGGAGGGAGAGAAGGGAAGGAAGGAAATCAAGCAATGAGAGACATTGCCGAACTGGATCTAGAGGTCTACAAGTTGATTTCTTTTTTTTCTTTTTTTGAGAGAAGGAAAGAAAAAAAGGAGTGAAGGAGAGGAAGAAAGAGGAAGAAAAAGAGGGAGAGAGAACAGAAATGTTGCTTTATTCTAAAAGAATGGGTATTAATAATGGCCAATCAATGTTTCATTTAAACCTGTGAGTAGGTGTGATGTGGTATTGACAAGAATGTATATTTTGTGTATTTAAATTGGAGAGCTCTATAAATATTTATTGAGTTTACTTGTTCCGGATCTGAGTTCGAGTCCTGGATATCCTTATTAATTTTCTGTCTCACTGAGTCTAAGTCTCTATGTATCTGGGTGTTAGGATCGTTAGCTCTTGTTGTTGCATTGATCCTTTTACCACTATATCTTTGTTGCTTTAAAATCTATTTTATCAGATACGAGAATTGCAACTCCTGCTTTTTATTTATTAATTTATTTTTGCTCTCCATTTGGTTGGTAAATCTTTCTTCATCCCTTTGTTTTGAGTCTTTGTGTATCTTTGCATGTGAAATGGGTCTGGATGTAACATGCCATTGGGTTTTGGCTGTATCTTTTGATTGGGGGATTTAGTCAATTTAAATTTAGGATTACTGCCATTTGATGTTAACTGGCTGTTTTATCCATTCATTGATGTAAATTCTTCTTTATGTTGATGCTTTTTACTTTTTGGTATATTTTTAGAAAGGCTAATACTGGTTGTTTCTTTCTATGTGTAATGCTTCTTTCAGAAGCTCTTGTAAAGCAGGCCTGGTGGTAATAAAATCTCTGAGTACTTGCTTGTTTATAAAAGATTTTATTTTTCCTTCAGTTGTGAAGCTTAGTTTGGCTGGATATGAAATTCTGGTCTGAAAGTTTTGTTCTTTAAGGCTGTTGATTATTGGCCCTCACTCTCTTCTGGCTTGTAGAGTTTCTGCTGAGAGATCTGCTGTAAGTCTAATAGGCTTCCCTTTGTAATTAACCTGACCTTTCTCTCTGGCTGCCCTTAGTATTTTCTCCTTCGTTTCAACCCTGGTGAATCTAACGATTATGTGCCTTGGGGTTGCTCTTCTTGAGGAATATCTTTGTGGTGTTCTCTGTATTACCTCGGGTTGAATATTGTCCAGCTTTGCTAGTTTAGGAAAATTTTCCTGAATAATATTTTGAAGAATATTTTCCAGCTTGGATTCATTCTCTCCGTTGCATTCAGGTACACCTATCAAACGTCAATTTGGTCTTTTCATATAGTCCCACATTTCTTGGAGACTTTGCTCATTCCTTTTTATCCTTTTTTCTCTCATCTTGTCTTCTCGTTTTATTTTATTAAGTTGGACTTCAACCTCTGATATCCTTTCTTCTGCTTGAACAATTTGAGTGTTTAAACCTGTGCGTACTTCTCGGAGTTCCGGCATTGTATTCTTCAGTTCCATTAATTCACTTATATTCCTCACTAAGTTGTCTCTTCTCATTAGAATTTTGTCAAATCTTTTTTCAAAGTTCTTAGTTTCTTTACATTGGGCTA